ACATCGCCTGTGTCTAGCGTTTTCTCTAGTATGTTATACTGGATAAGTTCTAAGACTAGAATATAATTGAGTTTTGTTTTAATCCAGTATATTTTACGGGACATCACCTGTATGTAAGCTTATTCTCCAGTATATTATACTGGATGAATATTATATTTTTAAACAGTATAATTTCTAGATATCTAATTATTTGGGTTCATTAAATACAGGATGCATACAAATTTCTTGATTATTGCGTTCGATGGCAAATGGACAGCAGATTACAAGTACTTGGATCATAAAACGAAGCTCCTCCTGATTAATGATGGGACTTCATTTGAAGAATTCCTTAGAAAATTTTTTGAAGTTATAGAGCTTGACAACAAAAAGTTTCAAGCAAATGTATGGCTTAATATCAACCTAGGTACTTCTAAGGGAATAGAAGTGACAAAAGATGAAGATCTTATTATGTGTATGATTCTTTTAAAAAATGATCCATACTATAAAGATTCGAAATTTGTTGTTGAAATATCAGAAAAACCAGATCAACAACTAGAAGGTAATGGAATAATGGAAATTGATAATCAACAGTTATTGCACAGAAACAAATATATGGTCCGGAAGAGCAAGTGTTGCTGATATCTCAAGTTGAAGAAGAGCAGGAGAATCCAATTTATGATATTACAATGGAAAAAGAAATTGTAATTCCTGTGGAAGATCAGCACATTGAATCACTACAAAGTATTGAAGGAAGAAAAAGGAAAGGAAAAGGAAAGGCAAAAGAATCTCCATCAATAATATTGAAGGAAAATGCATCACTGGATGATGTAAAACTTGGTTCTGTTTTTCAAGATAAAAATGCCATGATTAGATGTTTTTGCTTAGCAGCTATAAAGGAGCATTTTGAGTTCTATGTTAACAGGTCAAGTAACACGAGATACTCTTTGGTATGTACTGATGAAAAGTGTACTTGGACTGTTCGAGGTTCAAGAATTAAGGAATCAACACTTTTTAAAATAGTTAAATTTCAGAGAACACATGCGTGCTCAGTTGATATTCGAAAATCAGATCAAAGGCAAGCAACTTCAAATGTGATTAGAGATTACGTGATTGACAACTTAAGAGACATAGCTACTGAGGTAAAACCTAAGTTTATCATTTCAGAGATGAAAAGAGCACATGGAATTGATGTTGGTTATGGAAAAGCATGGCATGCTATTCAAAAGGGGTTATCTTTGTAAAGAGGAACAACTGAACACAATTATGAGCAGCTGCCATCATATTTGTATATGATGGAACAAAACAATCCAGGATCATATACAAATATTGTGAGAGATGAAGAAAACAGGTAAATTTCTTATTTATGAGTTCTGTTCAATCTATTGTATTTTATTCTGTCTAGTATATTATACAGGATGTTAGTGGTTGCGTCCAGTATATTTTACAGGATGTGTGTATTGTATAAGCTTTCTTTCCTGTAAATTATACTGGATGAGTTCTTTTTATTTATTACTTTTTTTGAGTGATTTTTTATGTCCATTATTAAATACGGGACATAGTGGTTTAACAGTATATAACTCCAGTTTAATATACAGGAAACAAAATATTAAGTTATGTATTTCAATTTTATTTCATTTTCTGCAGTATATTAAACAGGAAGTTAGTGTTTGTCTTCCCGTATATTTTACAGGACGTGTGTATTGTAAAAGCTTTCTTTCCTGTAAATTATACTGGGTGACTTCTCTTCAATCTATTGTATTTGATTTTGTACAGTATATTATACAGGATGTTAGTGGTTGTCATCCAGTATATTTTACAGGATATCTGTATTTTATAAGCTTTCTGTCCTGTATAATATACTGGGTGAGTTCTGTTCAACCTAAAATTTTGTATTTTTAGTTTATTTTATCTAGTATATTATACTGGATGTTAATGGAACTCCAGTATGTTATACTGGAAGAATATTATAAAATAGTTAATTTTTGTTTGATGCCCGTAAATTTTACAGGACGTGTGGCATGAGCTTTATCTCCAATATATTATACTGTGTAAGTTAACTGAATTTTATTTACTTTTCTTTTTACAGGTTTGTTTACATGTTTTTTATGTATGGGGCATCAATTTCTGGGTGGAAGTATTGTAGACCACTAATTGCTGTTGATGGAACATTTCTAAAAAATAAATATAGAGGTGTTCTATTAGTGGGTGTTACCAAAGATGCAAATAACCAGATTTTTCCTATAGCTTTTGGAGTAGTGGATAAAGAGAATAATGAATCATATGAATGGTATTTCAGGGAATTAAGAAAAGCAATTGGGATTCGTAATGATTTAATGTTCTTGTCAGATCGACACAAGGCTATTGCAAATGGAATTGCAAAGGTTTTCCCTGAGTGCTACCATGGAATTTGCATCTATCATTTAGAAAAGAATCTGAAGCAAAGAAGAGTGAGAAACACTGTGATAAATCTCTTTCAAAGTGCTGCAAGAGTATACCTTCAATCAGAATTTGATGACTTCATGTCCCAAATAGCTGCTGTTGATAAGAAAACTTTCAATTATTTGATGGAGGAACCGCCAGGAAGGTGGGCTCGTTCACATTGTCCCAGAAGAAGATATGATATGTTAACAACAAATATTGTTGAGTCAATGAATAATGTTTTAAGACGTTCAAGAGAATTGCCAATTTTAACAATGATGGATTTCATACAAGAAAATTGCAAAGCTGGTTCTATGAAAGAAGGACACTTGCAGAAGGAATATTCCGTGATATATCAAATTGGGCAGAAGCAACATTGGAAGCAAAAATTCAACCAGCTTTTACATTTAGAGTATTGCCCATTGATAGACTCAAATTCAATGTCAAAGAAGGTGGTATGAAATTTATTGTTGATCTAGACAAAAGAACATGTGATTGTTCTGAATTTCAGCTAGACGAGATGCCATGTGAACATGCAATTGCTGCAATTGAGAGTATACATCAAAAGAAATCGGCCTTTTGCTCAGCCTATTTTTCAAGGGACTTTTGGTTGAAAACGTATGAAGGGCAAGTAAATTCTGTAGGTGATGCAACAACATGGGTTATACCAGACACTATTAAATCAGAAATCACTAAGCCTCCAGATGCCAAAGTACTGCTAGGAAGAAGACAGAAGAATCGACATGT